TGGGCTGCCCACCATTTGGCCCAGGAGCGGGTTGATAGGCCAAAGTTCTTTTCATGCTTTGATTTATTACCTACTTTTGTTAAAAGAGCTTATTGGATGGATTATTTTGGTATTCCTTCTTTTAGAAATTAAATTTCCTTGATTTATTTTTCTCTGGTTTTGGTTTGGTCCCCCCGAATTGTACCTTTGTTTTTCTCCATTAATAAAATAATGGCAAATGTCCCTCGGCATTTGCCCCACTGATTTTGATGGTTGGCTTTTCGGGGTAAAAAAAAGTATAAATACTCACCTTTCGGCTAGTTGAAGGGGGATCCGAAACTCGTTTCCTGGAATACCGTTACTCTGGCGATTTTTTTACTCAATTTCATACTTGTACTTTTCGACTTTCACACTCAAATCTTACTTCCTGGAGTACTACTATACTAAGAGAGGTTGATTTGTTACAAAAGGTGAAGAAAGAGGCGTTGGAAACTGATTTGACTAATCATGGGGTAGTTTGTGCCAATTTGTTGTTTCAGGATTCAGGGACTGAAAGTTTGAGATAAATCGTTTCTAGGTTTTTTCAGCAAGACCTGCTTATATATGGTATTTCTTCTCCTAATTCAGAGAAAGTTCATTTGGATCTAGAGGTTGCTATTTTCCAAGACCATTGTACAGAGGAATATAAGAGGGACACCATGTTAAGACTTGGGGTTCCATCCTAAAAGGTCAATATGATAGGAGGACTAGCCCATGTTTTAATATAGCAATTCGTTGACTCAAACATTTCCGGTGTGGGATTTAACACCCCTCCTCACGACCAGAATCTTCGTCTGGATCATGCCGTCATTCATTTTTTTCGTCAACTCAGCATTGTCATTTTTTTATAATCGTGTCAATCAATTTTCATAAGGGGGTCCACACCATGGATCGATTTGGTTCTGATACCATGTTAAGACTCGGGGTTCCATCCTAAAAGATCAACCTGATAGGAGGAGTAGCTCATGTCTTAATATAGCACTTCGTTGACTCAAACATTTATGGTGTGAGATTTAACACATAATAGGGGAAATTGTTCTGGAAGATGTCAGTGAATTTTTTTAGGAGACAACCTTGGTCACTCGTGGTAAAACTGAAGGGAGTGTTTGAGATGATGGTCATTGATTTTATCCATCTTCAGTTCTCTTTTCCGAAAGAAGGACAAAGCAAGTACATAGTGACTTTATACGATGTCTCACAGGTCGAGGTTATTGATAGTTCAGAAGATGATGAATCCTCGGGTTATGATTCTGATCATGAGTTGCTTGAGTTCAAGCCAAGATTTTGTCTGTTACGAGTTAAGCGCTTTAAGGTTGTTGGTCTTTTCGGCATTAGGGAAGTAGCTTGACGAGATAATGCTTGATTGGTTGAGTCATATATATCTTTAGCTTCTTTCTTTCTTTAGTGTCGTCTAATTTTCTTCTTTAACTTTCGACCTTCATTGGCGCTTTGTATTTCTTGATCTTTTATTAAGTTGAATAAAATTTGGTATCAGTTTCCCAAACAAAAATGAGTATCTATACTTACGTGTGTAGTGCTGGTTGGTGCAGTGGCTCACTTAGTTGGCCCTCCACGCTTAAGTCTTCCACTGGTCGGAGGTTTTGAGTTCAAATCTCACGACTAGAGATATGATAGAAGTGTTTTGTCCATGAGTTTCTTTACTTTAACGAAATGGTTGAACACCTGAAGAGAGAGAAAATGATAATGGAAGTAATGAATTTATGTGTTGGAATCAGTATCAACTTAAACTGATTTGAATTATAGATCATAAACTTGACGATTCTAGAAGCGTAAGTTAGTAAGTACCAAACAACCGCAATAAAAACTTACTCTTTTGGACTTTGCCCACTTTTAATTGAGTTTAATATCGTGCAACGGGTGCATGGTGAGCACCATGCACCCATTGGATATTATTTTCTCTTTTTTAAAAAATGGTAATAACTTTTTTATTTTTGATTCGATTTTTATAAACTTTATATCAACATTTTTTATTTTTCATGATCTTTCAAATGAGACCAATATTGCCTATGTAATTTTAACATATTAACATTTGCGTGTAAAATATGTAACTTTACGTGTTAAAATATGTAACTCACGTTCAGTCAGGCCAAATGCAACTCGTGTGTATAAATATGTATCTCTACGTGTAACAATATGTAACTTTACGTAAAAAATATGTAACTCGCGTTCAGACAGGTCAAATGCAACTCGTGTGTGTAAATATGTAACTCGCGTGTATAAATATGTAACTTTACGTGTAAAAATATGTAACTTTACGTGTAAATATATGTAAGTCGCGTTCAGGCATATCAAATGCAACTCGTGTGTATATATATGTAACTCGCTTATAAAAAGATGTAACTTGCTTATAAAAAGATGTAACTTGCTTATAAAAAGATGTAACTCGCTCATAAAAAGATGTAACTCAATGTATTATCAAATGTAACTGAGGCCACTGATCCACTCCCAAACAGAGTTTATCTTCTATTTCACAAACCTATCATCTCCCAAACAGATTCGATTTTCCTTATAATCCAATACTCATTAATATAATAGTTCGATAATTTCTTAAAATTACATAAGCAATATTGGTCTCATTTGAAAGATCATGAAAAATAAAAAAAGTTGATATAAATTTTATAAAAATCGGATCAAAAATAAAAAAGTTATTATCATTTTTTAACAACAAAAGCAAAAAAAAACAAGGCTTGCTGCGTCGTTTTGCAACCCGGCGCACTATCCTCATGGTGCGCCGGTTGCACGGTAAAATTTGCCCTTTTAATTCTTTATTGTCCTAAAAACTTAGCCAATTTGTTGCTTTTCAAAACTTGTGATTCCCTTGATTTCTTTTCGCTCTACACATTTCCGTTTTTTACTTGTCATCTAATACTACGTATAAAATACTCCTTCTGTTCTCTAAAACTTTGTCATCTTTCTTTTTCGGGACGTCCCAAAAAAATTTGACACTTTCCCTTTTAATCAATTATTTTGTGGTTTCTGTTATTTCTCTCTCCTCTGCATAAACCTCAACCACACAATTTTTACTTTATTATTCTCTGTACCGGTCAACATTGACAAAGTTGTAAAGGACTGAGGTAGTATGCAATATCTATGGGGACATAAGTAATATTTTCTACCAACCACGTTCTATGATTGGCCGGGCCCTAACAATTTGGTGCTTGGGTTCAAAGGTAAACATTAGGCACTAGAATATATTACCTTCATCCCTTAAAATTTTGTCAAGTTTGACCGGCACGTGGATTAATAAAGTAAAAATTGTGTGATATAGTTTTGTGCAAAAGAGAGAGAATTATTTGGAATCACAAATTCATTACTTAAAAAAGAAAGTAACAAAGTTAGTGAGACAACTAAAAAAACAAAGTTGACAAAGTTTTAAGGGACAGAGAGAGTAAAAAATGAATACTTTGATAGAAAAAGAAAACATTAGGCAGAATATAAGAAATAATGATAATGATTAGAGTTGGACTTGGGGTACATACTTTTGGTGTACACACTTTTTACACATTTCTGTGTAAAGTTTTTTTTATGTCTGTACAGACATAACGTATTTTAAAAATACGTTATGTCTGTACAGACATAAAAAAAACTTTACACAGACATGTCTAAAAAGTGTGTACACCAAAATGTGTACCTTTATAATTTTTCTAATGATTACTTTGTAAATTCATACTCCCATTTGGTATTATTACTCCGTAAAAACGACGGAGTACTTTGCTCCCATCAATTTTGAGACGTGACATAAACTCTTAAATTCATGCCTCTCGTTATCTGTGATGTTTTTAATAGGATTCAATTTTTTCAATTGATCTAGTCTAAATACTTCTCGAAAAGGTTGACCAAATTTTCTCTTTTGAATGTCACATTTCCATTTAAAGTAAAGAATATGTAACTAAAACTAATTCTCTCTTCTTCATACAAATTTCAACCATACAGTTTTTACTTTATTAATTCATGTTAAAGTCAACTTTGACCCACCTTTTTCGGTACGGAGGGAGTATTTGAGTTTAGTCCCTTGATTGATGAATGCATGTTCAGTGTCAATCTTATCATTGTCGAAGTATAGTTTGACCTATTGGTTTATTTTGATCTAATATGGTATAATCTCATATGAGATTGAAATCATTCCAATCAAAAACAAGTTTAATTCAAATAATTTGGCATAAAATAAAACTAAATTTTGATAGCAAAATATTTTTAAGAATAACATTTTCATATTTAAATAATTTTGTGTTTATTATTCATCAAACTTGATCATCATTGATTAAGAAAAAGTTAACAAAGACAAGTTTTGTAGGAGGGAGAAATTACTTTTTTACAGGAAAAAAGGTGGAGATGAATTAGAAATACTAAAAGCATATAATCCCTCTGTCTCAAAAAGTTTGACCAAACTTACTTTTTTGGATGTTCCAAAAAGATTTGTCATTTTCATTTAAAGTAAGGAATATGTGACTAAAATTAATTCTCTTCTCTGCACAAATTTCAACCACACAGTTTTTACTTTATTAATCCACATGAAAATCAACTTTAGCAAACCTTTTTTAAACGGAGGGAGTATTTGGACTAGGTAGGCCGTGTATAGTGCATAACAGCTACATATAATACTGTCATTTAGGCCGTGTTTACATATGATTAAAAAAGCACCTTTTGGCCTAAAAATTGAAATGAGTGTTTTGAAGTGACAATTTTTACTTCAAAATAAGCACTTAAAAGCTAAAAGTTATAAATGGATGAGAAGGTGTTTTAAACTGCTTTTCAATTTTTGTATTACACAAAAAAACACTTATTTTATGAAAAATTACTAATTTTTACTTTACTTTTTCAAAAACACGTTATCCAAAATCAATTTAAAAATCATTTTTTAAAGCGGAAGCGATAACAAAGTTGGGAGAGAGTATTTAGCTATAAATACCTCCACACTTCCCCTCTCGGTTGCAAATCATAAATTACATAGGTAACTAAGCTTCCAACTTAAGCAGTACGGCCGCCCACAAAAGAAACATGATGATGAATATTCGAAGCTGCGGCCACTTTGTCTGTATCGATGAGGTCGAAAAGTTGCCGCCGCCGCATTTGTGTCATCGGGAGCCAGGCTCTGACGACGATGACGTCACCATGTACGACGAACTGGATTCCCCCAAACAATCGTCCACCATTTCTTCCGCCGGGGACGACGACGACGACACTTCCGAGATCAGCAGCAGCGTGAACGACAACTGTCCCGGCGGCGGGTGGAGCTTTCTCGTGGAGGAGCTGCAGTCGAACAATAAGGACGACGCGGCGGGGGAAGTGGCGCACGTTCAACCTCCGCCGCCGCGCCGTATGAAGCGCTCCTTGTCCACTCTCAGTTCCAAAAGCCTGGAGATGTGTACCGAGGGCTTGGGCTGTGAAACTGGCTTCGATATTACCCAAAGCATCGACGACCTGCTGGGCAATCCGCCGCCGGCGCGGGAGGGTGTTTTCGCACCACCACCGACTAAGCCGGCCGGGAGGCCGCCGGTGATGATTGCGAGCAAGAAGTTCAACAGAACCAAGAGCTTCCCGCCTCCTCTAAGTTCTGCCAAAGATCAGCAGGCCAGGCGCGAGGACGGGGTGAAGATGTTGCTGCGTCGTCGGGAAGGCGGCAGGTTGGTGGTAACCGCCGTGTGCCTAACCCGACCCGACTCTTTCTTCCAAGAAAACAGGTCGGACGGGAGGCTTAGGTTGTCCTTCAAAGTGGGAGCGGCAGACAAAGGGGCGGATTTGGAGGACGTTTGTGAAGATTTAATTGAGAATTAATTAATTATTAAGTGACGGGCGGGCGGCTGAAGATGATATCATGGTAATGATGGAAGGAAGGTTGCACAAAATTAAAGGTTTTTGTTGGTTCAATTCAACTATAAAATTAAAAGAAAAATTTTCAATTTGGTGCTTTCGTATTATCATCAAAAAGTCTATTAGATTCTTGTACTTTTTTAAAAATCAATCAAATACGCAAATTTTGTAAAAACGTTCAATCAAGTCCATTTATAGGTTGCTTGCCATGTCACCAGGTCTTCGGATGATGTAGCGCACATGTGGCGATCCATGTGCGCGCTAAGTCATCATCAGAATGGTTGGATGAAGTTCCACATGTGCGCCGCGTCAGCATAAGCACTGTTGATTGGGATGTCACATGTGTGCCATGTCAAGAGATGATCTGCTGACATGGCAAGTAGCCTGCAAATGGACTCATTAGACATTTTTACAAAATTCGGGGATTTAATTGATTTTTTTAAAAGTACGAGGACCTATTTGACTTTTTTTGTGATAGTACGAGGATGAAATTGACAATTTTATGAAAATTAAATATCTCCTTTTTCTTGCTTGTTACTTCGTAGTAGCTTTCCGACAATATATACTTCACTTTTGTTCCCAGAACGTTGTACTACATTTAGAACACAGAGAGTATACTTCACTTCTTTTTTTCTTGTTTTACTATATTTAGCCCCCAGCAGGCCCACACTTCTAATATACGGAGTATTGTTTATTCCCTAAATAGGAGCAAATAATAACTAAATTTCAAGAATATGACCAAAAGATATAATTTAGGAGTAACTAAATTTCAAGAATATGACCAAAGTAGGAGTAAGTAATGCTCTCTATTCCAAATTTATCCTTATCACATTATAATTTAAAAAATAATGTTTTTACGTAAGAAAATCTAAACAATACGGCATCATATTCTGTGGCCTCCCAGAGTTGCCATTGTCGATGGCTGGAGATTATTTCTCCAAGAATGCCACTTTACATCAAAAGTGTCAGATTAATGGCCCTTTCAAAGTAAAAAATGACATTTTTAAAGAGTAATAATGTCATTTTTATGGTATTTTGAAAACAAAAATTAAATTTCACATTTTTTAAAACCCAGAGATGACGAATAAGAACAAAGGTCATTAGAATGAGAATAAAAAAAAATTGAGAATGATTGCAGATCGATCAGAAGATGAGAATGATTTTAGAAACAAAGAAGGGAAGTAAAACTAGCAACACAGATCGATTGCAATGACGCTGCCGCTGCAAAACCAGATCTAGACGGAAAACAAACAACCTGCAGAAAAACAAATGAGCTCAAGGAAGCGACAGAGGGAAAGAACAGATCGCCGGCCGCCGTTCATCACCGTGAGTCATCAGTCTTCCGCCGTTCATCGAAGTTGTCTACCGTCGCTGCTCGCTCGTTGTCGCCAATCTCTCTGTTGCGCACACTTGGAGCCAGACTGCTAATTTGCTCTAATAGCACGGTTAAACTTAATTGGAGGGGTACAATTGGAATACTGGATCCATTTAGGGAATAAAAGACAACTACTCCTTTTTAGAAATTTAAGCATCATTTTAGTCTCATTCAGGGTAAAAACTCTAATTGTAACACTCCTTTCCAACATCAACTATAATTTCAGTCATTGAATAAAATTATAGTTGAACCGATCAAATTAGTTGAATGAATTATTAAAAATAACTATATTCAAAATTTATTATGATAATAAAATAAAGAAAGTATTATGAAAGATGGCTAGAATTGCTCTCTTACTAAATTCAACCAAAAAAGTAATCAAAACTTGACTTATTTTGATGGTTAGGAAATTCTGCACCCGTAATTAAAAATTGTGTGTTTGATAAAAAAAATTATAGATGAACAAAGTCGGGGAAAAGGGATTACCAAACGAGCATTCTTCTCCGAGTCTTTCGTTTCTATTATTCAATTAACCATTTTACAAAGAGGGACACAATTCAAAAAAGGAGTTTTTCTATATAAAGGCATTTTCGATAAAGGTTCTAAAGTTTGATTAGCTTATCATCAATTAATTTTTTTTAAGTTTTGCAATTTAAGATCATGAAGTTAAAACATTGAAATGACTAAATTGTTGACTATGTTGATATATATGAAATTTGGTTGAAGTGACAGAATTGATTGATTATTCGGATTTATATAAAAAAAATTAAAACAATTTTTATTAATAAATTAAAGAAAATATTATATGAAAAATAGCTAAAATGAACTTCTAAACTAACTTCAGCCAAACAATCAAAAAAAAACTTTAAACTTACTTTTTCTTATTTTATATGAAGATTATGTCACGCCCCGGACCTACCCGGACACGTCAACAACCCGCCGTACAGTACGAATAGTCAACCGCAGTCCAACTCATCCATACTATACAAGGCGTCTGGAATATCATTCACACATAGTACATCCATAAACAAACATAATGTAAAATATTCATTAAAGCAGCGGAAACAGTGTTACAAGTGTTCAACCACACTTGGCAAACTTAGGCATACAAGCCCCCAAATAATTATTCAGAAAAATAATATCCATGAGCATTTATATAATTATTTTTAAAACAGAAACGGAGGAAGCACGAACCAAGTCTTCCCTCCTCGATCTTCCCGAAGCAACGGGCGGCGGTAGCAACCTTCAAGTTCTACCTGAAACTGTGAAGTGGCCTCCCCGTGAAGGGGAGGCCAGTACTTTAAAGCATTTGAAAAGTACAATGACAACTACACTGAATATAATCAATGTTTCAATTTGTAAGACCCTCAATCTAGGGTGATATTATATTATAGGCCATAACCCTCGGTTACCCTGTTTGAAAACATACTTACTTTATATAAAATCAAGTAGACGGCCCGTGGGCCCATTTTCGTTTAGCATTTACCATTTCTATTCCCCGTGACCTCACGCCACGACAACCCCATAGGGTTTCATCAAGCCCCGATTGCATAGCAAAGGCTCGACCGAACTACATTTCTACACAATCCTTTAACTCAATTCAACACGTCTTGATTGCATGGCAAGGGTTCGGCCCAACTACGTTTTCATACAACCCACAATTTCATGGCAAGGGCGTGGTCCAACTACGTTTCCATGAAGATCACAAATACATGGCAAGGGCTCGGCCCAACTACGTTTCCATGCATATCACAACACATGACAAGGGCTCGGCCCAACTACGTTTCCATGCGAAACACAATTACATGGCAAGGGCTCGGCCCAACTACATTTCCATGTAATCCTAGTGTCAGGCTCTAATTCATTATCATAGTCCAATTCTCAAGAAAATCTTATGCCTAGAATCCATTCACTTGGGGTAGCCTTTAAGGCCCACTCCTAACATATTTTAGAGCTCACACAATTCGTCCTTACCGTATCTCTTAAGACTACTTAAGACATCACTATTCACAATCCAATTTCTTAGGATTAATTCCATCATTATTCATATAAATCTCCCGACTGGTATTTTAATACTAGTCGGATAATCTTAGAACAACCAAGTTCATAATTCATAGTCCAATGATTTTCCAATCCAAATATAATTTAATCTCAATATCAAAATATCCCTTTTATCCATTCATGAATTCTTTACACGAAGTAAAAATATATTTTATCACAATATTTGATAGTAAATTCCTACTATCATGTCATCATATTCATAACACATAATCATACACAATTTCTCTAACTTTATATATCATGCTTCATTTACTCATATGCAATAGTATTTTCATTTAGGCATTATTAATCATTAATAATCCATGAAAATCACATTTAATACTTTAGGTAATCTTATGAAATTAACCCAACGATTATAAGCAATATAGTCAGTCATCCTCACATCGTGATGTGCTACAATTGTTGCCTTTGTTATGCCCCTCGATCAATCCCCATTCTAGGCCGATTGAAAGTGGAAAACTGGACTGCCAGCCAAAAGCCGGGCGGCTTTCGTAGTCTGCAACTACGAACAGCTCCTTTGGAGTGGCGATTTCCGACGATTTTGACTCATATCGATTCCACAACTCTTCTAAGTTAAATACCACCACTTTATATCAATATTCCACACTTTTAAACGTGTAGAAGTCGTGGTTTAATCCACTATATGATTTCTTAAAAATTACACAAGAAAAACTAGCTAAAGAACAATAGCTGTGTTCTTACCTCTTCTCCTAGCTATTTCTCTTGGATTTCCCTTTCTTTTGCTTCCTCTAAGCTCTTTGTTTGTGAGAGCTATTTCCAGAGCTTCTCCTCATCCGTCTTGGTTTGAGTGGTTCGAATGACTCAAGGGGATGGGTTTTGTCTCAATGAGACCTCTTAACCACTATGCACGTTCAAGCCATGTCCCCTTGTCCCAAAATCATTATTTTGGGACCCCAAGTTATGTATGAAAATCCCCAAGTGGGTGTAGGAAGTCCATCCCAGTTATTCCTGCTATTTCTGGCAGGATGAGTCAAAATAGCACTTGGGTTGTCTAAATAAAATGTCAACATCGGTTGGCATTTTATTGGGCTTCTATAATTATTATGATGACCCAACTAATTATTTGGTAGCCCATTGTCAATATAATGTACCCGATAAATAATTTAATTAATCATTAATTAATTAAATATTTCATTCTTTTACACGAAATCATTCGCTAGGAAAATTCAAATACATACTGAATTTTAAATTCAAGTACATCCGGATGCGGTGTCACAGATTACGCAATTCAATTCACAAAATAAAAAATTATGCGTTTGATGAAAAAGTTGGCTCATAAACATGATAATCCGAAAAACAGAATCACCAAATGGGCTCTAAACTCGGGCTCTAAACTTTATATGGAGTATACTCTAAAGGAAAAATAGAAACTAATAATCCAACCTTTAATAACAGGGAGAAAAAAGATAAATGATACGTGGGACCGTGACGTGCACTTGTTGTGAGATGCACTCAAAATAAATACAATACAACGATTATACGTAGTATAACGAAGTAAGGTTCGTATCCACAGGGAAATGAATACTTTTCTTTTATATAATGGGTGACAAAGAGGGGGGGGGGGGGGGGGTTGATTTTGATTTGATTTGATTTAATTAACACTAAGATGAACGACTTATGTGGTTTAATTAATAGAGATGAGGTCTTGGTTTTGCTTTTATCCACTTAATGAAATATTTGTCGATCCCGAATATATCTTTAACTATCTTCCTCTCGAATACTCAAATCGAGGAGTATATCCAGTTCATCGAGGGTAGTTATTAATAACGAGATGCGTTCATTAATAAAATTTAGTATCAAGTCAATATAGAACAAGCGCCATATATTAACTTGATAGTAGCAATAAACTTAAGATGAAAACGATTGAGATTGATAACCTCAACACAAGCGGTTTATTGGTTTAATCAATATAATTAATTCCCCTTGCATATTAACCATGAGATGCATGCATTAATACTCCAAGTTTACTACTGTTGAAAGAACCGGATTAATAACAAGCGTATTAACCGATTGATTCTAGTAATAATTAATATAAGAAACAAAATTAGTTGATACTTTAAGTAATGTTCAAAATATTAACATGAAATATGAATAGGAATTAATTAATACTCAAGGAAGATTATTAAAGAATATGAATCCTACTATAATTAATATCAAGATGTTAACTAATTGTCATCTTAGTAACACTCCCCAATATTAACATAGAGGAAGAAATAACTA